TGTATAAACCGCACCGGTCTATAAGCTGCATGGTTTAAAGTTCAGGAAAAAAGTCGCGGCTTATGGTCCGAAAGATATGGTACTCATTTTACTTGAAGCACTGGTTATAATTTAATTTGACATTGTTGAAAATTTGAGAAATTTTTTTTGTTTGTTGTTGAAATCATTTCGCAATATATAAAAAAACATTATTTTGTACTTCTGTTATGTTCATTTGCACTACAGCAAAAATGCTGGGTTTGATTATGATTACAGTTTTCTGCAAAATAAGTGCTTTAAAAATGACCTTATCTTTACTTTTATGATAAATTTCTACCGCAATATATACCGTTACCGTGAAGGGATTCAATTTATACCGTGAAATGAATATGTGATCATACCGCCCAATGCTAAATGAATGTTTTTTTTTTAACAAATATCCCCATTCATCAATTAGCAAACCTTAACAAYGTGATAAATAGTAAAAATTCAAAACTTTCACAACTGTAAAGATTTGTCGGGTCCATAACATCTTTTGTTTTTCATTTCATTTTACTTGTTACATCAGTAATTTACTAGTTTAAGCATAGTATTATGCATTCTATTTCAAAGTTTTTATTATTTTCTAGTATTTTTATGTTTTCTTTTTTTGTGTGAAAGTGACAGTATCAGTGTCTTGACACAGTCAGTACATAACTTTCACATCAGCACTAACAAGACAATGTTTTTTTTTTCCACCAACGGTACCCCTTAAGATTTTTTTATTTATTTAGTTATTTATTTGTTGTTTTGTTTTATTTACACAATGTCTTTGAAAATAGAACAAATAAACCACTTGAGGACATTCTGTAACTGCACACATACAGCATCATCTGTCCAGATTATGATTTATTGCTGTTTGGATGGCATTCTTGTTTTTTGCATAGAGCAAAAGAAAACTGGCTACTCGTGTGATTCTCACCGCACTGTAAGCAAATAAGAAGCAGGGTCGCCAAGTATGCAGGCATCAGTTTAAACAAGGAAGATCCACCCCCAGCACAGGCACGATACAGACTTTTTTTTTAGTGTCCCTATCAGAATAAGTTTTTTTGTGATCAGTGATCAATGTTTTTTTTATTTTTTATTTTTTATTTTTTATTTTTTTGTCAATTGGAGTCTTGTGTTGTGGATATTAGTGGCAGATTAAAGAACAGCTGGACGTCTAATATTAATTACATTTTTTAACTGTTGACATTTTCCTCTGAGCTGCCCTGAGCTCCTGTACCTAAACACATTATTCCTCTAATGCCTTTATCTAAGGAACGTGCTGTGAGCTCAGCTTTGTATAAAGCTTTAAGCAAAAAAAAAAAAAAAGAAAGAAAAGAAAAGAAAAAAGAAAAAAAGAAATAAATGAAATGAAATTAAAAAAAAACTCAGGAGAGATTTACTGTGTTTGCTTTGCATCTACTGCAGTTATTGTTTTGATGTTAAAAAGTTATTTTTGTATAATGAGCAGTGTTATTAGAATATAAAATTGTGGACATGTGCATGTTATGTTGCAGATGCATTTATTACCCTGAAGTACTCAATGAAATTATCCACTCAGACTGTTTTTATCTGGCTTTTCATAATACTGCAAACTGACACAATAAAGATTACATAACTCTTGTAAAAAGGGGATGCATAGAAGTTTAGCTTTTCCAGGTTGTGACAATTACTGCAGCAGCAATCAACAGGTGTTGCACAGGTAAAGAAAGAGGATCTTCATGAAAATGTTTTGAATCCCTTTAAAGTCATCAAACCCATTTCAGCCAAAGTTTTTTTTTTTTTTTCCATATTGACTGGTTGAACTTCAACACTGCTTGGAATCACTAATTTGCATTTTTCTTTCATTTGTTTATTGAGCCACAAAAAAAAATCTAACAAAACTTTACTTCTGATGTTTGAGCTAAAACAAGCTAACCAGCTGTTACATTTTTTAAAGTGATAAAATCCCTTTTTAAACCTTCCATTAGTTCACTGTATTTGTAAGATTCATTTCAGATAATCACTGCTAAAGCATTGAGCAATCAGCCTAAATGGATTAGTTTGATCATGAACATTTTCAGTGTTTCTTGATACCACACACACACACACACACACACACACACACACACACACACACACACACACACACACACACACACACACACACACACACACACACACACACACACACACACACACACTTCCTTTGGGCTGTATTTCACCAAGTGTGAGGTCAAATCAAACCTGTTTTATGTGCTCTGCCGTAGGAGTTGTGTGTAAGCTTTTGAGCAGTGGGATGCTGATACAGGCTGTAAAACAAATAGTGAAGAGAATATGGGATGAACTTCAGCCTTTTAGAAACTGCAGGGAATCTGATACTAAAAGAAAACACCACACTCATGCCCAGAAGAGTCAACAACTTTTCTCGTAAAAGTGAAAGCCAGTTTTTGTTGGTTTGTTTGGTGTTTTTTTATTTTTTATTTTTATTTTTTTATCTTTCCTATTTTTATAATCTCCAATATTGAGTTTTGGGCACTTCAAATTCTTGACTATCTTACTTAAAGCCAAAGAAATGAAAATATCAACGCTCTGGTCAGATTCTCTGGGAGTTTATTACAAATAGCAAGAGACCTTTCTAAGAACTGCTGAGCTTTCACAAGACACAAGCAACTTTGTGCTTTTTAAACTGCTCTAACTACTCGCTCTTTGACCAATATGTATCTCCATAGTAGAAATAGGTTTCATATAACAAAAATAGTTAAATTGCTTTAATAAATGCTAACTTTAGTATAAGAGAAATGCAGTGGTGGGCACCAGTCCGCTAAAGCGCAAATCCACTAACTGTGGACCTAAATATTTATTTGTGCTTTAGCAGTCTTACTAATTTTTGTAATTCATAAGCAGATTTGTGCTTTCTAAAATTTAAATGCAGTACCACTAATAACTATTTATCTACAAGTCTTTGTCACCTTTGGCATCATTGAAAAGTAAAAGTGAGTTCAAAGCTTTGTTCTGGGAGAAYGCCTGTGTGCTGACATTCACCTTTATGTTGCCTTGACATTTGCCACCTAGCAAAAACAGTTTGATCAATAATCCATTTTAAATGTGTGCATGCATGAAGCCCAGTATGTAAACTTTATTGTACAGCTGCAAATCTTGAAATAATCCATGATTTTTCTGTCTTTAAGGTGACAGTGACTACAATTGGCTATGGGGACAAAGTTCCACAAACCTGGATTGGAAAAACTATTGCATCATGTTTTTCAGTCTTTGCTATATCATTCTTTGCACTTCCTGCAGTAAGTACATATTGTTTTAATGTGTTTTTTTTCTTCAGTTTGTTTCTTATGTTTTTTATGTAATAGTGTTGCATAAACAAGGTAAATGCATTGCTTTAAGAAACATATGTCAGTGCCACCATAGGTTACCTTAGTGTTGCTTTTTAATTAATTTGTTGCTTAAACCAGTGCATTTTAAAAGTGGGGGAGGCACTAGGGGGGCACCTCAGAAAGCTGGAGGGAAGATAAGTAAGAAATGCAAAACTAAAAACGTAAATCTAATAAATGTTTAAACAACTTTTTCCTCACAGCAGCGAATCTGTTTTTCAATCATTATTCTAAATTATAGTTTATAATACTATACTGAAATGTTATTTAAGAGAACTTAATTGAGGTTTGATTTGTTTTGCTCTGTTCTTATCGCCAGTTTGTTGAAAAATTGTTTTTCCAGTGGGAATATAATACAGTGTAGCATATTCATAAGGTTCATATACTAAACAATTTAACAATTATTGAAAAATAGATAAAATAATAATAATAATAATAATAATAATAATAATAATAATAATAATAATAATAATAATAATAATAATAATAATAATAATAATAGGTGCCTTTCAAAACTCTCAAGGTCACCTTACAAAAGTCAACAATAAAAACCACAGTAAAACAATAAACACAATAAAAGCAATAAAATGTGAATAAATAAAAGTGAAAAAAATGATAACAGTTCGTTATATATTTAAGAGAAATAAGGGGGGAAATTCAACTGCTCTGCCATATATTTTCTATAGACAATGACTTTTCCTGACACTCTACCATGAAGCCCAGCTCTGTGCAGCTTCTAGTGGTCCTGTGGACAAATCTATCCATTACTGCAGAAGAGCAGTTCCCTCAGAAATCTTTRGCCTTTTGGTTGCTTCTTTGAATAAACTGCCCTTCTTTGTGTGTTTTGTGAAAGGATGGTTGTTGGTTTGATGGCAAATTTTCTATGGTAGCATAATCTTTTCATTTTTTTTCTAATAATTAATTTAATGGGAAATGTTTTGTTTTATAATTCATTCCTCATCTGTACTTCTCCAAAACTGTGTCTCTGGCCTGTGCAGAGAGTTCCTTGGTCTCCATGATGTCTCTTGCTTGGTGGTAACCATTTAAAGTTATTGACTGGTTTTCATTATGTTTGACAGGTTTAGATCATTTGACATTTAGATTGATCACAGAAGGAACTTCTTTCAAAATGTATATGTGGCTTCAGAAGCCATAAAACTTTTTTGTAGATTAGGAATTTATCTTCAATTCACAGGTAACTATAAATAATAGTTCTCATCATCTATCTGTTAAAAAGCTTTGGTAATTCATTGTAACCATGATTTTTGTTATTTCTAAAATTGCCAACACAATAGAAATTCCTCATTAAATTATGAGAAAAAAAATCTGTTTATATCATTCCAATTACCCTACACCATAATTATTGGGGAAATAAAACTGAGAACAGTAAACACAGCTAACAAACTGACACAGTACATTAACTGTCTGTCAAACATGCGCTGTTTCTGCCACCAACAGATGACAACAAGATAAAAGCCACGAGTCAAGACAATTTACATGCGACTCAAGTTCACAGGTGTTGTTTCCCCCAGTGATTCATCAGCCTCTGAATTATAGACTCCCAGGCATGTCAATCAAATCAGCTACGCTCCCAAACAGTTCATTCCTTCCATATGAGTGCACTGATCAAAAAGAATTCACCTCATGAAATGCTGTGGAAAAGGTTTTGACTTTCATAAAAGAAGCCTTTTCATTAAATTAATTTGGAGCCAGGGACTCACGTTTTCATTATGTGCCGCATTAAAAAAAAGAAAACAAAACAAAACTTACACCCACTTAGTTTCAATTTATAAAACTGTGGATAAGAAATTCTGTTTTAACTTCAAACAACATTTTCTGTGCAACTTGCTATGAAACAAACAAATACCATTAAACTATATATCAGTGCTTGATTTTTTATTTTGGCTCTGCAGTGAAAATACTGTTATTTTCATGTTTTTGTACCCTGCAAAATATTGTAACACTTAAAACCCTCAGCCYTTCTTTTCCATCAGCTTCTAAATATTGAAATGTTTTATTTTCAGCCAGAGAAAGATACTAAATACGACCATATCCAGAAATGTTGGAACAATATCAAAATTTAAAGAACAAAATCTAAAAAAGAAGAAAAAGAAAAGGAAGAAATATTACTGTCTCTTCTTTGGACCAAAAATCATTTAAAATGGATCGAGGCAAAGTGGAAAACGATAATTTGGTCAGATAAAACAAAATTTGAAATTTTCATTGGAAACCACAAACACTACATCCTCCTGTATCCTCATCATAGGGGTCTTTGGGCTGCACTTTKTCTGATCCCTCACCTAGGACCTGTTTCCTTGGKTGACCCTACCAGGGGCATGAAGCCCCCGACAACATAGCTCCTAGGATCATTGGGACACTCAAACCTCTCCACCACGATAAGGTGGCAGCCCAGGGAGAGGTTGAGGTGGCTCGGGCATCTGGTTAGGATGCTTCCTGGTGAGGTGTTCCAGTTACATCCCACTGGGAGTAGGCCCAGAGGAAGACCCAGGACACGCTGGAGGGGCTATGTTTCTCAGCTGGCCTGGGAACGCCTTGGGA